CAGTCCAGGCTTTCAGTTGGTGTCGGACTCTTGTTTACAGGCGAGGGTCCTGTCGCTCGGGCTGCATCGACGGAACGGTTCCATTGTTTGCTCCTGCTTGTGCAGTTCCCGTAGTTGGTTCGCAAATAAAAATTGCGGTGTTCCTCAGGCCACCTGTTTTTTAGGCGGCTCCTCCCCTTTTCTTTACAGCGCAGTGTTTTAGGGTCAACTTTGAAACAGGAGCGTTACGTGTCTTGTGGTATCTGGAGTGTGGCAATACGACTTACTCCGCCCGTAATCGGCAACAGTGCGCGCCGGTACAGGGGGTGCTCGCTGCAGAAGGGAGCTCCGTCTTGTGTGACAACTCGAGGCACAGTGTGTTTTTGTTTGAAGGGCTCTATGAGGCAGCCGACTGCTTCCTATCGCGCGACGCAGGGCGGTTGCGAGTCCCGGTAAAAATGGACTCGCGACCGAGATCCAAAGGGCCTCGAACATCGACGCGTCCTCTGCTGTGTGAGAAGCGGTGGCCAGGGCTTGGCCGCCGCACCGAATCTTTGTGAGACAGGACACAGAGTACGGCCCGACCGACGACACGCACAGGTCAGAGGGGGTTCGGAAGAACTACAACGCCCCCGCGACCACCAGTGTCGGTCACCGGAGACGTGGCCCGATGACCCATTCGGTTCTTCTTTTTTCAGCCGAGAAGTCGTTACGTGCCCAGAGATTACCGCACAACGATCGCGGCAGACCTGTGCCTTCCGTAGTCACCGCATCACTTACAGGAGTACTTATTTGTAGGCATAAAGGGGAGGATCGTCTAAATCGTAGTAAAGGAACTCGACTCTCCCGAACGATAGGTGAGATCCGGTCCCCGGGTTGGAAAAAAAACTATATGGCTTCCGGATGAGAATTTCAACGCTTAGGTGGTCAGGTTTATCTCTCAGCATTCGGTAATACTGTCGGATGCTGGCGCTTTTGTGTGAAGAGTGAACATATTTTGACCTGGAAGGCATGCTACTTTATAAGTAATTCATGACGTCAAGAAATAGAAATGTGAGAAAGAATTAGATGTGTGTATGTTCATAAATTGACTTCGATGTGTTGCACAACAACTAATGTATCAAACCTTCAAATAAGTGTGCATGCTATTGATGTCACCCATTACAAAAGTTCTCGTACTGTCACCGACGGTGTGTACTTTGTCCCTTTTTTTTTTTCTTTTCTGAGACTTGGGAAAGCAGACGGTAATAAATTTTTATACAACGATGTTTGTCATATTTAATCCAATGATATTCTCGTTTGAGTCTAGACTTGCATGTGTCCTTAGACTGACGGGTTTTCACGTTATTTTTCTGTTTTATTCAAATCCTTAGTTTTGGGAAAAAAACAACGTAAAATCATCTCATATTTTTCCTTTAAGGGAATTTTATTCCTGACGTTCGTTGTGATCCAAAGAATGGACTTAACTATTATGCTGATATTAGTTAAATTTGCCTTGGCTAGAATTCGCCTAAAACCGTAAGATATGCGCAAAACCATTTATTACAGTTTACTTTCATTCAAGTTTGTTTTGATTTTCGAATGTCGACTACTTCTCTGCCATAGCACTTTCAACCTCAACAAATCCACTATAGTTTTTGGACAACTTTACCATGCACACACAACAATCGTACAGGGCGGTCTTTCGCGTTCTAGTCGTCGAGCCGTACGGCGTGTTGACAGCGCGCAGAAACTTTCTCGAATACCAAAGCGTCTTGCTAACCTGACTTGGCTATTCCTCCACGATACCATCGTCGGCAACGAGAACCAACACACCAGACGCACTCTTACTGACGACACGTCAATCGCACAGGAAAAGTCCACGGCAGCGGCAAACCCTCGCATCCGTTTTCTCCTTGGCTCGCCTCCGCACGCGACAACTTTTACCGGCGAGATTTAATGGGAACGAAGCTATTTCGGTGCGAGCGTAACGTCTACTCTGTCTACCTGAAACTTACCTTATTACTATGTTTTTATTAGTAAGAGTGAGCCTCACTTTAATAATATAAAAAACCACGAAAAAACGAAGACGTATGAACTCTAAAACACACACACGTCCGACAGTGAGGACAACTGTAGCCTGTTGGGCAGGTCGGGTCGCTTGACTCAAAACCTGACGAGTGCTGCGGGGCGGTTAGTACCCAGTGCGGCCGGTTAGTGTTTGAAACTACGCAAGTTCATGTACATAAGACGTGTCCTTTTAATACAATATCCTGAAATTGCTATTTTGTCTTATACAACAGAGAAAATCATGGTGTAGAGCGATTAGCTGACCAAACGCAGGAGTCGTAGGGGATCGGCGTGTCGTTCCTCCCCACCACGCTGATTTTGTGTACATTTTAATTATGGGGGGGCTTGTGTGGTGCCACGTGTTAGGACATAATTCACCGTGTGTTTGTGTGTGTTGCAACCCGGACCCGTTAGTGAGGGCACCGGGGTTGTTGTTCATTCATGCTAGCTTTACATACAGCAACAAGCTAATGTCTTACCTGTCTGAATGTTTCGTGTTAATAAAGTGTGGAGTTCCATACTGAACACAACGCCTCCGACTCCCATTCATCGGCTCTACAACATGCTTATTGTAGTTGTAACTGCAATGCCTGTAGCACCATGGGGGCTGGACGGACCTGTATTTTACAGGAAAGGAGTGAGCAGACTTTGAGTTGCGCGCGCTGCTAAAGAGACGCGCTACCATGGAAACCAAACAATGGTGTAGCTGTATTAAAGTCCGAGTGGAAACAGTCGTGAGTAAATCTGATTTTGTCAGAAATCGAGACAAATGCGGGAGAAATATGACCCTTGGAGGTAACCGGGAGAGGGCAATGAAATCGGGAGTCTCCCGCGGAAATCGGGAGGGTTGGCAAGTATTACACACACACACACACACACATACACACACACATAATGTTCGTATTTAGTCTCCTGAAAATGGGAATTCAATCATTTGAGTGTTCCCAAAGCACCGGTGTTCTGCAGTTTGTGTGGGCCTACTGTATTGTTGTACAGTTTATACTGTAGAAACTGTCCAGGACAAGGTGTTTCGAAGTTTTGGAAGATTCATAGCTCACCACACTGAAGATTATGGATTATCTCATATTTTTAAGCCTAAATGTGTCCTCCCCCCCCCCTCTAACATCACCAGAAGTCATAATTTAAGGGGTCATTTCTCAAAATGTTCTTCCGGGGAGCATCGCCTTCCATAGCCCCACCAAAAATATTTTCCACCAGCCGCTACTAGTTATACTTTAGTTTGGTTTGCTTGTAAAGGACGTGCAAGAGTTTTCTTGTGAATGAACTGCACAAACAGGGCGCTGGTCATTTATTGATAAGCTCCAATAATAAATATTATACCAAAGTTTCCAAAATGCCAGCTACAATCTTAAGTAAATATCCCACACCTGGTGCAAAAGCGATAAACAGTGACACTAAGAAAGTTACATTTGATGGTCAAATATAGGTTGTTTTGTATGTGGGTGAGATGCCAGTGAGGGAATGGTTCCTTGACACTTAATTTCCAAAAAGTGTTCTCTTTCTGGCCACACCAGAGGTTTGCAGAGGTTCAAATGTTTGTCCCTGGTCAGAAGTGAAAATCTTCCTGAACCTGAAATAATGAGATTAGATTCAACTTTAATTTATTGGCACTCGACAACTCACAGTGGCACAACAAAATACATTTTTTAATTCCCTTGATGAAGAAAAACAAGAAAACAAAATTATTTTTTATGTTGGAGTGCGGAGCTGATGATTCTTACAGCCGGAGGAAAGAAGCTGCTCTGGATTCTGGTGGTACAGCAACAGGTGGTCTGGCACCAGAGTGACAAACAGACTGGAAGATAGATAGAGCTGATCCAAAATGCAATTTAACGGAGTGAAACAGAGAAACAACTCTAATATACAACACTCAGATCAGAGTCATGCAGACCAGATTAGTGTGAATATCACTAGGGACTGGCCTGACTCGGTCCTGGGTTAGGAGTCATTCTCTGTCCAGGCAACAAGTGGACCCCTCCCCAGGACAACAGGACAGATAAGATCATGTAAGATACTGACAAACTAAATCTTTAGCTCTATTGCTGGTAAGGCTCTTAGGTCTGTCAATTTCTTGTTACGCCATTAGGTGGTGGCGAAGTCCATAGGGACTGGAAGGTCACCAGTTAAAGTCCCGGCAAGACCAAGTGCTACCGAGGTGTCCCTGAGCAAGGCACCGTTCCCTACACTGCTCCCCGTGCTCGCCGTTCAAAATGGCAGCACACTGCTCCTAACACTAGGATGGGTCAAATGCAGATAAACAATTTCCCCACGGGGATTAATAAAGTATATCAAATCAAAAACCTCAGTGAAGCCAAACTCAAGCCAGGCGAACAAGACTTCACTCATTCGACACTACTGGAAAAAACATGGTTGTTCATGTAATGGTTAATTATGCTTCCATAATATTTCTTCTTCATGACTAGTAGAGAGAAATCATCCAAAATACACATCAAGCTGTTGATTTGACTAACTTTGCCCGTTTGCGTCTTTGGATTTCTCCTTAAGTCACTAAAAGTAAACATTGGAAATGCCTCATTTGTATGTTTAAACACAACTTTTCAAAATATGTGTGATGCAAAAAATAATTAACCTTATACAGGTTTCATGGTGATATTAAATAGTTAAAAAATAAATCTCATATTCTGACCCAGAAATGTCCACTTTCAGCATTTACGTACACCGTTTTATTCATTCCTATATTATTTTCTATAGGTCTTAACAGTGAGGGATAGTTCAGATAATTTTTAACTGTGATGTTCAACAAGACCATGCCTCATTTGCAATGGCACCCAACCGTCCCCCCTAAATAAAAGTATGTGCTGTGTGTTTGCTCCATTACCAACCTGAGGAATTGGACAAAGCTCTGATGTATGAGGAGGAAAAGTCATTTCATTCTAACGATGCGTAAAATGCAATAACAAATGTCTTCTCTGTTTTTTGCCATTCCTCAGATTTCCTCCGGAGAAGCCTATCTGGTTTACAGCAAGAGGATTTACTCCAATTCTGACTTCAACCAGTACGTGGCGGCCCTCTACAAGGTGGTGGGCACCTTCCTGTTCGGAGGGTCCGTCAGCCAGTCGCTCACCGACCTCGCCAAATTCACCATCGGCCGCCCGAGACCCAACTTCTTGTCCGTTTGTAATCCTAAAGCCTGCACCGGGTACATGCAGGTGATCAACTGCACCGGAGTCCACCAGGACGTCACAGAGTCCAGGTACGAGGATGAGGAGGAGGTCTTACGGGCTCATTTCTGTGTGTAGCTTATTGAAAGTTAATGCACCTGCAGGACTCTTGCTGTCTATGTATCTTTAGGTTGATTGCAATATGTCTCTTTAGATACAAAATAAAATCGAAGCTACCCCACTATACCTACTTTGTACATTTAGATTATCAAACAAACATGAATCAACTAAAATCATGATATATTATTATAGGTTGAGCTACCCAGCAGTATATATATTAATTTAAATAAACCCAACCTTAACCCCAAAGTTTGGGATGAACACATTAATTCACCTCAATTAAAATACCATACTTTAGAATATATTATTCTGAAATGGGCCATACCGCATCAAATGTTGGTTGATTAAGTTTATTTTGAGTTTATTTAATACTTAGATAGTACTTTAAGCTGCAACAGAGAATTTCAAACCTTTCTACATTTAAGTAAAATATCTGAGTATTTCTTCCATCTATGCATACATTAGTCATTTGTCACTTTGTTTCACTTACTTGTGTTTGTGTGGAGATTACTATTCTAACAGATTTTGCACAATAATAATGCTAACAGTATTCTACAGTTTAAATATCCTGTGTGACACTTTACATTTGCTTCTGTCTCTTCTCCAGATTGTCCTTCTACTCCGGTCACTCCTCTTTCGGGATGTACTGCATGTTGTTCTTAGCGGTAAGTACAGTACATCCTCGACCCATGACTAAAAGTCCTGGAACACAGTGTAAATACTCTGTGTACTGTAAACATGGGAACATCTCCATATGGTCACCATGCTGATATCTCGGTGTGAATCAGGCACAGTCGACCCCCAGATGGACTCATCTTACAACAGGCTTTTGAATTTGGATCTGCACTCGAGGGCACATTTTGGAGAAAGAGAAAGAGCTCATAGAGACAGTTTGTGCCTGTGGACATAAAAGGACAAGGGCAACTGTTGAGAGGAAGAATGAGGATACTGAGAGAAATAATCTGGAGGCCTCAGCTGACTTTCTTCCAGCCATGAAGAAGGCAGAGCATGTCCTGTGTTGTGTCTCATCCAGTTCATTACCCTTGGCCTCCTGTCTTTGTGTTAGAAGCCAGGCAGCAGTGCTAGACAGCAGGGCGTCAAGAGGCCAAGCGAAGCAAAACTGTTCAGTTCAAAGAGAAATTCAAAGTAAATCTCCAGCTAGTGTCAATGCCTGTCCTTGGTTTAGACCTCGCTCTCATTCTTGCCAGGCAAATACTAGGAAATGCTGTGATATTCAGCCTGTGTCCTGCAGTGTGTGTGTGTGTGTGGGGGGGGGGGTTGCAGTGTGATGCCAACGTTTGCACCTTCAACAGCAGCCCAGTAAAGCCCAGGAGAAGACTGTACTGGTGCCAAGTCCGTAAATGTTTTTGGCATTTGCTGTTTTCTAGCACCCCAAAAAAGGGGGTTCAGTCCATAGTCGACATACATTTGATTCAAACTCAACACTTTTTTTACAGTTAAATCCAATTTAAGACATATTACCAGCAACTGTTTGCATTAGAGGGACACAATCATGCTTCATATAAATGGGCTGTTTTTTTGGGGGGTGTTTTGAGTTATATTTCATCCAGCTTTTAACATTACAACATGACCGGCTCTATATTTAAGCAAATATCAAAGTTAACATGCACAACATAAATGTGACTGCTGCATTACTGCCTATTACATGACATGCATTTTACATTATGCAAGTATAAATACTATATTTACATTATTGTAACTTTTTTTCTGCTGTGATCAGACCAAAGTTTTAGAATCAAAATCAGGTCCACTGCAAGTATTGAATTGAAGTGTTTTTTTTAACATACAGGTAAGGTGCTTTCGTGTATAACGGAACATACTTAAACACAGTAAGGGAAATACAATATAATTTTTTTTTAGCTATTCTAAAAACTTTTATAGAATCTGAAAATATGTGCAAGAAATATTAATTTCAAGCAAAAGAACAAACAATAATTATTATATGTTAAACCACTCATGACATTTCTTTCCTGTCTCTTCTCCCCTCAAACCCCCCTTCCTCTCCTCCTCTTCCTCTTCCCCCAGCTGTACGTGCAGGCCAGACTGGTGGCTAAGTGGGCCCGCCTCCTCCGGCCCACCATCCAGTTCTTCCTGGTGGCCTTCGCGGTGTACGTTGGTTACACCCGAGTCTCAGATTACAAGCACCACTGGAGCGACGTGCTGGTGGGGCTGCTGCAGGGAGCGCTCGTCGCTGTGCTTAATGTGAGTCACCACGGCAACGCCTCTCAAGGCCAAACATCGCGAAGTTTAATAACTCCTGCGTTATATTTCCATCATGTCATACAGTCGTAACTCCTGTAATGGTCTAGTGTTGAGGTTTCAATATACAAAGAGGAGGAAATTGAATATTGACAATAATGTCAGCCCATCAGCTCAGAGCTACACATTTTTAAAGGGGCCCTAATACACTTATTTTCAGGTTTCATATTTTCATTTTGTGCCTTTACTGTGTGTGAGAGAAACTCCCTCTGGAGGGAACTTTGGGATGTTAGCCTTTGCAGACCATGCACAAAAACCTATAAGCACTACAGGAAAGGGAAATCCCTAAAAGCATAATAGGGCCTCTTTAACAGTAGAAAAATAATGCTCATATTTGTACATTTAATTTTCTATAAAGTAGCTCCAGCCTCAGACCTGATTACCTCTTAACTTTGAGTCTTTCTCTTGTGGTTTCTTGCTCTTAGCTAAGTAAACATGGGTGGGTGCAGATCATAAAAATTACATCTAATGGAAATCTCTCCATTAGTGATACTCCCTTTTTAAAGTACAGCAACCGCTGAAGAGTCTATATTTCAGTTTATTCAGGCAGTAAAAGTCCATGTAGACAGAAAAAACATGAGGTGAGTGAGGTGTGACAGCAGAAGAGTGTGTACTATTGACACACACTCACACTGGCAGGTTCTCATGCAATACTGTGCTCTCTTCATCCAACTGGACTCCTTATTGTTTGGCCTCTTCCCTGTTTAGCGTGAGCCACTGTCAGCACGGTGAAACTCCTGCAGTGGTCGAGTGTGTTTGAGTGTGTGGCTGTGTGTGTGTGTGTGTGTGTGTGTGTGTGTGTATAATTGGGAAGTGAGCCCGCTCTTTTGGCCTTCAGTGTTGTGCGCAATTACAGCCCCTCCTGGGCATAGGCTTTTATGGCCTTCAGTGCATGTGCCTGCTCTCTGTGTGTTCCTCTCTCTTGTGTGTGTGTGTGTGTGTGTGTGTGTGTGTGTGTGTGTGTGTGTGTGTGTGTGTGTGTGTGTGTGTGTGTGTGTGTGTGTCACACTAAACAGCTGTGCTCAGACCTGTCCAGATGTTTGCAATCTTTTATGGGAAAGGTATTTCCCATTAGATTACATTTAGTTTTGGAGAAATTGTTTTGTCACAGCAGCGTGTTTACAAGGCCTTGCATATTGGAATGTACAATACAAAGATACACAATAAGATATTATACACTATAATAGACCAACCTACTACCAACTAAATATAAACATAGGATACATTATGAGAGTGTGCAAAGTAATTGCAGTTTTTAAAGCGGCCCTATTATGCACATTTTCAGTTTCAGGCATATTTGTATTTAGTGTCTCTACTGGGACATGTCTCCATGCTTTAATGTTCAAAAAGCTCTTTATTTTTCTCATACTGCCTGTGCTGCAGCACCTCTTTTCACCCTCTGTCTGAAACCAGAGCCAAATCTGCTCTGATTGGTTAGCTACTTTGTTTTAATTGGGCAACCACATAGAGATGTCCCACCCCTTACCTTATCACATACAATGTGTTGGAGCGCTAGCCAATAGAAGTGTGAGTACATAATGATGTCATTATATTACGGAAAACAAAGGAGTCCAATGGAGGCGTTTCAGGAAGGAGGGGGGGAGTGCGGGGGAGAGAAACTCCCTCGGGAGGGAACACAGGGATTTTAGCCTTTGCAGACCATTCACATGCAGAGAAACCTACACACACTACAGGAAAGGGAAAACCCCAAAAAGCATAATAGGGCCTCTTTAAATTGAGTTGAAATACAACAAAAACCGTCCTGTATAGATCCTTGTGACCACATCGAACATCCTCTCCTCTCCTCTGCAGGTGTGCTACGTGTCGGACTTCTTTAAGAAGCGTCCTCCGCGTTGCACGAGGCAAGACACGGCCGATAACGAGGAGCCTGAGAGGAAACCCAGCCTGCAGATCATCGACTCGGAGAACAGCAACCATTACAATCATCGACACACTACTGAGTGTGGTCCCGTGTGAGGGGGCGGACGATGAGGAACGGGGGCTGCTGCCTGCAGACTCAAACCTGTGAGATAGGGTCCAGAACTGGGGGTTCTACCTTTTTAAATGTCCAGCCTGCAGGGTTTAGGTTAGTCCTGACTCAGTGGGCTGCCTGCTGCTGATGTGAGAAGCCCCAGACTGTCTTTATGAATGCTGCAACTCACCATTTGCATGTCTGTTCGAAGGAGAAAGCTAAGGTGCAGGTCTGTAGCGTGCAGCCCCCAAAACCCTCCTCACTCCCCCTGTGTCAACCACTCACACCCCCCCCTCCCCCTCCCTCCAACCACTGGACTGACTGAGGGTGCCCGAGCCCCCTCTCAAAGACTCCATGATGACCTGCTTCTCTCTTGTAAGAGAAAAAGGAGCATATTGTTTATATATATATTGTATGTGCTTAAAGCTGCATTAAGTGAATGACTCCACACCCACAGCAACGAAGCTATGATACTCCAATGCCTTAATAAGTGCTTTTGGCCACGTTTTTTTATCAAGTTACAAGCAGAGGATCCTTGGGCTCGCAATAGAGAGAATGGTTTTCTGCCAATTGACAAATCTAAGTTGGATTTTATTCACCTTTATGCCACCATATACAGTATGTTCCACTTTCTTTTGTTTCGTCACTTGTTTTTTAGACTCACTGTTTCCTAATGAGCTAGAATCTGTTTCTCAGGCCATGTTTGGAGGAAACAGCTGCACACAGTTTTATATAATGGGTCAGTGAGAGTTGGGTTTCCCCTCTTATGGATAAATGAATGAAAACAGCCTGAGAACTGCAGAAATGGGAATATCTTTTAGTTGTATTTCACACATTTTACTTACTCTGAGCTCTTATGGTAATATCAAATACACCGCTTAATGTAGTTTTATCGATGTTTTTAACTTCTATTTGTAGAGAACCAAATGAGTTAGCTGTGATGAAATGAAATTAAGAACGAGAGGAAGAAAGACAAGAATGTTTAGAGATGTTGGTGAAGGCACATGTTGTTGAATCGCTTCATTTTAGTGCACCTTAAACTGGCTGTGTTGCAAATCATAAGACATTTATTAAGTGTGGCAACCAGTTCACAGTAGATGAGCTCATTTTCTCCATATTTAATGTCACCCTGTTGGCAAGAAAAGGCTCACAAACTAAAACATTTTAGCTCCGAACCACCCAGAAGCTGCTTTGAAAGAGGATGTATATCAAACATCATGGTGTAGAGGTAATCCGATGATCTGAAGTCAGCTGACAATACATTTCTGCCAGCTTTCTAACTGCCGCACAAACAGGTCTGGGTAACTATGAGAAACAATATACTGTTTTAAAAGTGGCAACACAGGCTTTTCATGCCTGATGACTCACAGCACATTGATAAAGTCTGATTCATGTTGGAGCAGTGTCCAAGTATGTATACAGATAAGTCTGAATGAAGGTCAGGACATTTACTAAGATTTAAGGGCAGATATCCAAACTTGGTCAGATTTACCTTCAACGGTGGTGACGTACAGTACAGATGCCTTGAGATAAAATTAAGATTGAAAAAAGTTTTGGTGATGCATTTTCTACGTCTGACCTAAATCCTGTGTTTATTACTTAACAAATGGTGAGAAACAACCAACGCAAAATAATTTTCCCCCTTATACACGGAAAAAAAAAAAGTTTGGGGTGGGATTAAGGAAAGATTATTCTGGCAAATCCTTCTTTAAACCTGCTTTAAGTCATTAACACAAGAGAGAAAACTAATTATTGCAGACTTAGCAAATGGATCACCCTTCTTTTCTCATTTGACTTTAAGGGCTGCAGTAGTGAGGCTCTCGCTAAATTACAACTTTAATTGTGGATGACGTTCGTTTGTGTGAAATGGACTGCAGACGTAGAAACCATTGATGCAGATAGCTTTAATTTCTGATACCACTACTATACTGCCAATCAATTAAATTAGCAATTTGGCCTCTATTTTCGTTTGTTTAATTTTTAATTTCTCAAATACGTATAATCAAAGAAGGATGAGACAACCGTTATGAAAATGGTGTTTAATTTATTTTAAAGCTTTATTTACTCTTGGTAATGGTTGGAAATGCCAGCGCTGTTAAAGTTTTTGTGCAATCACCCCCCCCGCTTGCCACTATGAGCCACAAATACTGTACTAATGCTATGAGACATGTTTCATGTTGCGTGAAGGATGTGTATATATATATATATGTGCTTGTATGTTTTTATTTCGCATGTAGGTACGATTTTAATTTCCCCTGTACAGTGTGCTTTCGCCCGTTCTTTTTTTCTTTTTCTTTTAAGACTGTAGAAGTTGCCACACAAATGGATCCAATTCCAGGCCCAAACATAAGCCAGATGCCTTGGCGGCGCTGCTGTAATGATAAAGGGGTTACATATCCAACTGTGTTTTTTTAAAGCTGCTCCATTCCCACTTCAAAGAACCGTCTCTTCTCCTTTCCCCCTTCCTGTGTTGATGGATGGGGTTAATTTGTGATTAAGGTACAGTTGTTGTACACCATGCAGAGCCCTGAAGCACTGACACCAGATCAGACAGACCACAGACCTGATGGGGGCAGAAAGACGGGAGAATCTCACCTGGAAGTGATTGTGAGGCCCTGACTCTGAGCTGGGATTGGAGAGGGTGGGGTTCTTTAGGGTGGAGGGTATCCCGTTGTGAACTTTAGTCCCTGGGGTCTTCTACACATTAAAAACCCAGATTTAGGAACAGCTGGATCTGGTTGTGGTGAAGTGCTGTGTGAGCCCCCTCCCCTACATCTAAATCATCTGTATATTACTGCAGCCAGACTAATAACACAAATAAGGATGAGAATAGAGACTTCACGGAGTTTGATGCACCTCCACCACGTTTCCATCTCACAGCTCTGTGTGTTATACGCTTTATTGAATTAGTGCACTGGTTGGTTTGTGTCCACAGGTATGATTCACGTCGTTTGCTTTTTGTATATAGATTGTATCTATAGGCTCTAAAGCAGATAATTTTAAATAAAGATATAATCCACAATCAGTCATTTTGTCTAAATGTATACATGTCACTCATGATGGATTTACATGAGGTTTCATTTCATCAAGCATTCATATCTACAGTGCTCACTAGACGGTCATGATAAACACATAACATCATTTCCCCCTTTTTAAGAAATAAAAGGTCATAAACAACATTGTTGCATCGTTGAGATTTCAAGATGTTCTTGGTGAGTTCACTGTAACCCTGATTGCTAGCAATATTTCATTTTTAATGACGCACAATCAAAATGATTCAACCCACAAGCCATAAAACACTTGAAATCAGTGCTGCAGCATGGCAGGATGACACTATCAGTTTGATTTAGTGTTCGTTATCTGAAGGTGGTTTATCACATAGTGAATCCAGCAGAATTACATGTTGGAATGTGTTCTCGAAACCCGATAACAGATTAAACAAAATCTGAAAAAAAATGTTTTGTTGAAATATCCACCTTTTAAAAAAAAAACGTTATCCAAACTACTACAATGAAGGTTAACGAAATGTTGTATTGGTTTTATATTTTGGTTTTTCAGAAACCTTGTCTTGTCAGCCTTCCTGTGGTGGATCCACAGAGCACATTTGTTCTTGTTATTCAAACTGACTGACCCTAACATTGTAAAATTGGGGATTTATTTTCTTTGCTTCAGCGGTCATTCCCGCAGGCCATATTTTACAAACCAGAATAATCTTTATTGATTTCAAAAGGCGATGGTGAGCAACCTTACAATAGGGTGTTTTAGGGCAAAATGCGGCAATTTATTTTTAAACCTTTAAGGATTGTATGTTTTTCTCTTCTGAACGAGAGATTGTATTGTATGTAAATCAATATCCATCACAGAACATTGGATAATAAAAATGTCAGTGTTCCAATGTAGTGAATGTTTCAGTACTCGTGCAGTGCTTACAGATTTACAGTTTCACCTCTGGAGACTTGGTTAAGTGATTCATGACTTACTTGTGCATTAGACATTTTTGTATAAAGAATAATTAAAACCAAGAGCTGAGAATCAGGAGGGGTTAATTAGGACGTGCCTGCTGTCTTGAGGCAGGAGAATGAAGCCTACCATAAAAATAAACATATATTTATAACGATATAAACATTGGACTCATGGGGACGCTTGTGGGAGTTTCATGGCAGCGGTATGGAAGCCACTGACATCCCTCATTTAAAACAATATTACTCACTCGCACGTTGGGAAAGTTGTCGCACACGAGGGGCTATTTTTTACCGTGATGTCAAAACAAACGGCAACATTAAGGTGTTTTATTTACGTGACTATTCACCCTTTTAGCTGTTTCCTCCTCGGGGTGATTTACAGTATGTGAGTACATAGCTTTCTCATTAATTTCTCCAGAGATGCATAATATGGCTGAATATATTATACTTAAGGTCTAACAGTTAATTTACCTTGTTGCAGTATGAATGATGATCTCTTTGGTAACTAGGCTGCTAAACAGCATATCCACCCGTGGTTGCACACACTATCTCTCTATCTATAACCCTTACAGATATCCCATCCTCTATCTTCCTGAGGCTTAATGAGGCAGATGAAATAGATACTCTACCTGCAGTGGGTGGATAGATAGATTCCTATATCTTTGGTAAATCATCAGCATAACCCTGAGATTTTGAATAACACCTTTGTTTCACCACCTTCTTATCAAAATATGATCTCTTTGGCTTGATACATTCTCCACTTTATTTCGTATGTCACTTGTTTATTAGCCTCACTGTGAGCGGGACATGTTAGCAGGACACCGCTGCACACGGTTTTACACATTAAGCTTTTGGGGGTTTTCCCTTTCCTAGTGTGTTATATAGGTTTTTACACCTTCAACACATTGAAGGTAAATCTCGAAGAAGTTGACCAATCACAACAGCGACGGCCAGCTGACCAATCAGAGCAGACTGGGCTCTGGTTTCAGACAGAGGGTGAAAAGAGGTGCTTTTTTGCTTAAAGTAGCTTCGAAAAATTGTTTCGTTTTTTTAACTTGCACTTAGAGAACCAAATTGGCAGTGATGAAAGAAAATGTAAGTAAGATGAACAAAAATTAGCATTTTCAGAAATGTTGGTAACGGCACAATTTGTTGAATATTTATATATTAACTAGTCTAGCTGTGTTACAAATCATAACAAATACTTGGAGAGGCAACCTGTTCACATGAGCTCATTATCTCCATATATCATGTCATCCTGTTGGTTATATTGAATATCTATCATATTCTATCATGAAATATCTTTCAGCACACTTTACAATCTTTCAAGAAAGATATGTTTTAGGCCCACATAAACGCAGGTTTATATCAAAATAATGTGGTATTTCTGTTTGGCATTGCAGGAAGTAGATCATTCCTTAGAAACCCTCACAAATCGTCAATGGTTCTGTCAGCAGGGATGAGATTTTGTGAATGACCCGGAGCCTTGTGAGAAACCTCAGGACTGGAAGCAGCAAAGCCTGACAGAAGCGAGTCGACTGCCAGTATTCGGATGCTGCGGTGGACGGCGCTGGATGTTATATTCTGACCGTTCAGCCCACTTTGGTCTGTGTCCCTGTGGGCGGCCATTATGGTTTCAAACTGGACAAGAAACAGGAGAATGTTGGACAAGGGTTCAGCCAAAACAACCAGATGCTTTGGAAGCTGATTTGTAAAATAATGAATATTTGTATTCTCTGGCATGTTCCAACTTGTGTTACCAATTCCCTTATGTAGACAACTCCTTTACTTCCTCTTTGCTTTGTTTAAGAGTGCAAAACAGATCAGAAATAGCTTAATAATTAATTGACATTGAATGGATGTTGAAGTAAAGGATTGAAATTAGTGAGCATAACAGTCAAATTAATCAGGGAATAAGGAGATTCATGCTAAGGGCAGTTTCTCCTTGAAGTCCCTGTGGAACCTGACGGAGAGGAAGAGAGTGAATATACGACGTGTGGGAGTCAGGGTGTAAAACTTAAACAGACACGAAGGAGAGCTGGACTGGTTTACACGATTAGAAGTGGATAAACGGGAAGCACAGGCATGGTCTTGTTCCTCAGCGTGTGTTGAATTTAACTTTATTATTTTGTGGCTTTCATCGAGCTGGAACTGTTTACATCCAGTTTTCAGCGCTTAAAGGGGGAAGCTGTTTCAGAGAAAGTCACTAAGTGCTTCACAGTCCCACACCCACAGTGACAGAGATAGTTAAACTGCAGCTTCAGGAACTACAGACCCTTTACCATACTCATATTGATTAAAGAGGCCCTATTATGCTTTTTAGGGTTTCCTCTTAGGGTGTTATATAAGTATTACATTTTTGGAGTTTCTCTCCCGCAAAATCACCCCCAAAAATCACCCCTAAAACGCCTCCATTGGATTATTTGTTTACTTACTTAACATAGGGACATCACTATGGGCCTTTCTCATTTCACTAATTTCCCCTCCTCGACTCCTCGGTCCTCCGGTAGTGACCCGGAAATGGATTTCAAAGCGCCATGTTGAAGGACATCTCATTTCTCTAAATGCACATCGAGGACCGAGGATTGAGCATCGAGGAGGCTCTCTGGAGGAGCTATAATCGAGGATACACTGATGGGTCCTCCACGGATCTTCCGCAGATGTATTTCCGGCAACAGTGATGTTTAAAAGAGTCGTGACGCACGGCCGGACTTATCTCAGCCAATGACAGCTCTACATGCATCCCCTGGATATTATTTTATTAACTGCTTTCTTCGCAACGCAATGTTTACAGTGAGAACAGCTGTGAGGTCTGTGCAACAGAGCAGTGTGTATAATATATATCACTCAGCAGGCACGTGCACACATAGACATCAAAGTGGGCTTGAGCCCCTGCCCTTTTTCTTCCTCCAGAGAAAGTGCCCTTTCTCCCCCCTTTTTTTATTTTTTTAAATAAATGAATATATATCTACTGCTGTTTGTGCACAGTTTCCCTTTCCAAAAATATTTTTGATTGAATATAAAATAAAAACATCAGGTCGGGACTCGGGAGATTAGACTGTGAAGTTCCGATGCTCTCTCTACCCTCCACGTCTCGCGCACAGGAGTGTTACGTTATTATGAGAGTGCTCTCATACTTGTTTGAATCTGAAATTGTATATATATATATATGTGTGTGTGTGTGTGTGTGTGTGTGTGTGTGTGTGTGTGTGTGTGTGTGTGTGTGTGTGTGTGTGTGTGTGTGTGTGTGCGTACATGTCCGCATCTGTAGCCTGTTATTGTCTCATTATACCCCACTGTGAATGAATTAAAAGTAAATATATACAGTAAGTCATCATGAACACAGTTCTGTCCATCAGACAGAGTGCTGCTGTGCCTCCTGTCATCATTAACGTCTCTTTAAAATGACCGCTCAGAGGAGAGGAGTTCTCATTTCTCTAACCGCCTGCTGCTTCCCCTCCTCTCTCCTCGACTCCTCCGCTCGCATCTCCTGTGGGCGGGACTAAGACACGAGGATAGGAGTCGAGGAGGGGAGTTAGAGAAATGAGAAAGGGCCATATGTAACACTTACGCTTATATTGTCTAGCGATCCGACACATTATTAGTGATAGGCTAAGGGGCGGGACATCTCCAAGCGGTTGACCAATCACAACAGAGCCGGCCAGCTAACCAATCAGAGCAGACTGGGCTCTGGTTTCAGACAGAGGGTGAAAAGAGGTACTGCAGCACAGGCAATATGAGAAAAATTAAAGAGCTTTTGGAACATTAGAGCATGGAGACAGTAGAGGCACAAAATACAAACATGAAACTCGAAATTACATAATGTGTCCTCCTTAAAAACAGTAAAAAGTTGCAGGATAGTATTCTTGGAATCGCAGATAAGTATGTTGAATTGTAAAACATTTGTAGATTGGACTCACATTATTCCACAGTAACTTTTATGACAGTAAACATTGAAAGAAATTGCACCCTGTTTAAGTGCCTTGTATTTCAGATCATTTGGGTAATTAACATGATTATGCAGCATTGATTCAGAGATGTTACAGAGTTCAGCTTACTTTCT